CTGAGCTGCAGTTTCTTCTCCTGACAGACACTGCCTACGCAAAGAACAAAGTGAATGACAAGTGGTACTACTTTGATGACAGCAGTGTATCGGTGGCTTCAGAAGACCAAATAGTGGTGAGTATTTGGCCTGAGGCTAATCTGAGTTTGCGCTGAAAGTGTGGTTCCCTGCTTTGGGCATTACATTTCCAGCCAAGCTGCATGGATTGTTTCAGAAGGTTTTCTTCTTTGTTTGGTAGACAAAAGCTGCGTACGTGCTGTTTTATCAGCGCCGAAACAGTGAGGAACATACTGCCCCATCTCCTCCCCAAGAAGAGTGTGACGGCATGGATACCAACTAAACATCACCTCCAGCACTTGGCCACCGTGTTAGCGGTTGCTCTTCTAAAGCCATGCCTGAGGCGTCTGAAAATTTTTCTTCCTTCTGTAGGAGTTAAGCAGAAAAACTAGCACTGCAAGATTCAGTGCTGAGGGTTGCAGAATAGCACTGGAGAGCCAGGAATAGGTGTTGACACTTGGGTGTTTTAGAAGCCAAAAATAATATATATTGGAGCTTCAATAAAGTTCTTTTTAAAATCTGGCTGAGCTGTGTGGCTAGAGGCAGGGGTCGGGGCTGAGCTGGGCTGGGGCTGTGCGTCTTGGCCGGAGGGTTGTAGCTGGGGCCAGGAGAGTACAGCCTGAGCTGGAGGCCAGGTCACAGCTGAGCCTTGTGGGGCCCTTGGAGGAGTACGGTGGGTATGATTCTGTGAATCAGCTTGGGGGCTTCCTGCCAACGCTCTGGTGTTGCTGTTGGGCCCTGCCTGTGTCAGGGAGGCGTTCTGCACCCTTTCTGGAAGCTCAGTTCAAATCTTTGTACATCTGGCCTGTCTGTTGTGGTGTCTGCCATTGTACCTTGGTTCCCTTGCTAAGCAGCAAATGTTTTTCTTATGTCTTTTCACTGATGCATTTGAGGCTCTTCTGGGCAGTTTTGACTCAGCCTTTTTCATGTGAATGCTGAATCCCGTAACATAGGGAACTCCACCATATCATACCTGCCTATGGTATGGCATGTGTGCAGGCTGATCCACACAGCGATGCAGGATACAGCTGTTCTGGCTCCCATTCCTCTGCAGAGAAAATATAATCCATAAGGTTGGTGATTTCTTGTCCTCTCCATCCATCTCCTACACCCCTCACTTCCAGGCTGCTCTGTAAGCACTTTTCTGCCTCCACCATTTCTTGCATGGTTTGTGCAGTGGCAGCATTTTTATCCCTTTTTGCTCATTTATGTGACTCCTTGGAGCTTTTTGTCCAGCAAAGCTCACCACTGTGTCCCCAGAGCTGTCACCTGTAAGGATGATAGCCCAATACAATGGAGTGTGACTTTTCAGCCTTTTCTCTTGCAACGTGGTTTTTTTTTCTGACTGCTCTTTCAGCCTTTCTCTTCCTCCCTTGAGTGCTGCCCTTTAGATCCACCACTCCATCATCTGCTGCGAGGCTGCAGGTGTGACAGTCCTGTCCAAGGTATCTCTCTGCCTTAGCTGTTCAATAGTCCTGCTCCATCCTTTTGGCACAACTGGCAAATGCTCTTCCCTCTGTCCTCCTTTACTGTCTGTTAACTTGCAGGACTCAAGTCTGGCTTTCTTCTTGAATGAGGACTCCTGTGAGCACTGGATCAGGTCAGTCCTCAGTGGAGAACTGGTCTTCCGTGTGAAAAATGGGAAAAATCTAGAGCCTTGGTCTGTGTTTTTTAGGGAAAGATCTAGCTCAAGGTGATGAACCAAACAGGAGGGTTTTTCCTTCTTGGAGCCAAGTGCATTGGCAGAACAAAAGACTAAGACAAGCTACTTCCCTGCTTCCTCCCTTGCCCCCCCGAAATGCATGCTTGCAGCCACTTGGTCCTCTGCGCAGTCCCTGTGGCTCCATTGCTGACCATAACCTTCTCTGATGGTCAGCCTAACAGCGGTCATCCATTTTACTCCAAATATGCCAGCTCAGCTCCCTTTCCGCAGCTCTCGGCGACAAGCTCCATAGGAAATTCTTGTGCGCCCATCCCTGCACCTCTGCTGTGCTGCAGCCGAGCAAAAGCCCAGCCAGCTGCTCGCTTTGCTCTCCTGCTCTGAGCAGTGGGAAGGGAGGGCAGCACATTGCAGCCCCTCAGCCAGGGCACAGGAAGGCGACAGAGAGGAGCAGGGAGGGTCACCTCTAGCTGGCACGCTAGTGTTGTGATCCTCTTCTGCGGAATTTTGCTTTTAAAGCATTCACATTTGAATTTTGAGATCAGAATTGCTTAATGGCTTCTGCTGTTCTGGTTTTGGGGTTGTTTGGGACTTTTACAACTCTCCATATTATATTTCTGTTTTTTTTCCTTGTTACTGAGGGGAGCATCCAAAAACCAATTTTTAAGCTGTAGCACTGCACTGAATTACTCTGATCAGCATTTTTTTGTTTGTTTTACCCTGAAAGAAAATCGTGTGGGCATTCCAAAATGGGGAAGAGAGGAAAGGGAGTAAAAAACCTTTTTAAAAGAAAAAACAATCTGAAATAGTGTTTGTTCTCCTCCTCGCCTTCCTATCTGCGCCAACGCTGAGAAACACATTAGTGGGGCTAAATCTCCGATGCTCAGATGCTGAACAGACTCTGTTGTACTGCAGAAAAAGTGGCCCAGCTCTTACTTTCTCTGCCTCTGAGCTGGTGGGCTTCGGCTGGTGTGTGTGTGTGCTGTAATACCAGGCCTGTTTTTTAGACTAGCACTTTGTAAGTGGCTGGCTCTATTGTACAAAGAGGAAAATTAAAGAGTGGTTTGCACTGAAACTGGGTTTTGTTGTATTTTCAGTTTTCATTATGTGACCTGAGACTGCTGGTTGTGGGGATGCCTGGTGCTCCAGGAGCTCTTGCAGCTGGGGAGGGCAAGTCCTGTGGAGCCAACCCTTGCTCTATTTGGGAGAAAAGCAGCCATTGCCTGCACCGCTCTGCAGATCTGAGCATTTGTGCTTGCTCCAGGGTTGCCTTTTCGTGCCTGCGGCGCTGGTTGCTGGCATCTGGTGCTGTAGCAAAGCCCGTCCTTGCCTTTCTGTGGCACTGGGCAACCTCAGCTATGGCTTCCTCAGTATTCCTCTTCCTCTGTGGATCTTGGGGGTTCCTGGCTTTCCTTCTGTCCATTTTCTCTAGGGGTATCAGGGCTGCTTGTGGTTGTACCACTGAAATTGTTGTCCTGTAGTCACTGCAATTTCCTGCTCAAGGCAACCTGAACATGTATATGAGAGCAGGCTGGGACAGACAGAGGAAGTTAAATTCAACAGGCTTGTGTACATTTAGCCTTAGTGTGCATTCAGGGAATATGGAGGATTGTCAAAATCTTGCAGGTCAAGGTGGGCTGTGAAGCCCCAGTAAGAAGGTTTGTAGTCTTTATGTCATGATTACAGTGTAATAGTGGAGGAGCTTGGTCTTAGCTGGAGCCTCAGAGAGGGTTAGAGGAGCCTTAATGTAGAACAGCAGATGGTGAGCTTCGCTGTGAAATGCTGACCTCCAAAGCGTGGCATGAAACCCATCATGGGAAGAAGGGAAAGGAAAGCAGCAGCTTTTGGATGTGGAGGTGTTTGGGTATTCTGTGTCAGCCTGCAGGCTCACAGGAACGGCTTACAGAAGAATGCCAAGGGCATGAAGTGAAATGAAATTCCCTGTTGCAAAAGGGAGGGAAAAATAACCTGAAACACAAATTATGCTGTCAGTGAAGCACTGTTACTACCATTCCAAAAAGGGGTCTCTGAGGCAGAAAAGAGCATCTCTGAGCTAAGGCTCCTGTTCAGAGGGGAGATGATTTTGGTAAGAACAGAAAACAGGCTCTGTCTCAGTCCTGGCTCAGCTTCTGCTTTGAAGAATGTGTGCAATTTCGCTCTGGGAAATAGGGCTCAGAACGGGGGGGGGCGGGGCGCAGAGACGGACCAAACCAGCCACAGAGTATGGAAGAGCTTCTGTTTAAGAAATGTTTCCCCAGGTTAGGACTCTTCTCCCTGGGGAAGAGCGATCTGAGGCGTTCCTGCTACAGGACAAGAAGCCAGGAACATTTGCTCCCTGTTCTCTACAGTGCAAGAAGATGGTCAGGCAGGAGGCTTAAAACAAGGTATTTATTTTCCCCACCTGGCATGTAAATAACTGAACAGGGATACAGGAACAGCCAGGCACCCTTGCTAGGTGTACATCCTGCTGTGAGCATGGCAGACAGGAGGGGCTCTGTAGGCAGTCTAAGGTGCTTATAAATGGACTTGGGAACAATTAAATTAACCAGGAGATAGTCTGTTTGCTACCTCTGCATAGAAATGCCATCTCTGGCTCTCCACTGCCCAAAGACCTCCAAGGAACTGCTCTGCCCAGGAACAAAAGCAGCAAAGAGGGGACCAGAAGTTGCCCCCGTGACCACTGGTGTGTCCACCAGCAGGTTGACCAGGGCAGAAAGCAGATGGGATTTTGCAGCACTAGGGAGCCTTGGTGCAGGCTTGGTTATGAGAGGAAGGTGAGCCATCCCACACTTTGCCGTGGGCAAGTGGTGAGTATCTCCCTCTGGCTTTTGTTTTCTTCTGAGAAAGCTTCAAACAGAAGGAAAAAAAAAAAAAAAAAGATTATAAGGAGGAAGGACAACCACCACTTTCAGAAACTGAATCTCCACACTGCTTCTAAAGATGCGTTAGATAATTTGTTGCTAAGTAAGTTTTGAATTCTTAACGTGCTGATGTTGTCTTAATTGTTCAAAAGTAAAGGATAGCTACCTATGCATTTGCTTAAAAGGGTAAAACCAGAAACATAGGCACTACTCATACTTTTTCAGTCACATGAAGTTTTAAATTCCTTAACTCAAGCAAGCTTGCTCTTTGTGTACTAGAACTAGAAATTTTAGGTCTTTTCTCCAGTATACATTTCCCAGGAAGAGAAACGGAACTCCAGCTAGAAACCCACACAGAGCGCCTTTGACTCAAATACAACATACTCGGTCCTGGGGCTCAAATCAAAGTTAGGTAACTGCAGTTCTGAACATGGTGTTTTTCTTTTATTCTCAGCCTTGCTAAAATACATTATATAGTTTTAAGTACAGATTTCTTTTCAAATTACTTTTACAAGAAGAGACAAAAGCATATTCTCAGATTCAGAAGATGGAGGTCTGAAGTTCTTCCTTAAACATGCCTTCAAAATGGAGGTCTTTTGCCATGAGCTCTTCTTCTACATCTTCTAAGGCCCACTGATGATCAGTCAATTCTAAAGCTTCCCATTCCGTCTGCATTGATAATAAACAGAGGTAGAGAAAGGAAAGCAACACAGTATTAAAGTAGGTAGACAAGAACTATGCAAAGCAGTGCTTACCTTAAAAACTGCAACAAAAACCAAGTTCTATTAAAAACCTGCCAATCCTGTCAACTCTCTGAAATCAGTGTTTTATGCTTAATTGGGTATTACATAGCTGGTCAATACAAGTACTTCATAGAAGTTATAAAAATTACGTTATCTACTTTTTGAAAACCCTCTAACCTTCTGGAATAGTCTGTTTCTTCTGAAGCAGCTGTCTCCAGAAACACAGCCAATTCTGTTGGGGGGGAGGGGTAGGGGGGACAAGTGCTGTGTGGCTAGTTAATTCTTTAGTTCAGAGACATTTGAATAAAAAGTTACAGGCCAAAAATATTGCAACTGATCACAGACTTGATGTGCCTCATTACAGTGTCCTCCAACCAACAAGCTCCCTGGAGCTGCAGTGTTTATTAATTCATTAAGCCAGGGTGTTCATAGCAGCCCAAGACCTAAGAACAGAATTTGATCCTAAATATGAGAATAATCTCCCCCACTACTAATTTTCCAAAACCTATGAACAGAAATCTCTCCTCCTATTAGTCCATTAAGTGTTGCTCCAGTAAGTATTGTGAAATAAGCTGCATACAGCCTGCAAAATCACGTCATGTGTTGCCTCCTCAAGAGACTTCTATTTCTTGGCCAGAACGCTTCTCCTGCAATACAGGCTTGCTTTCTTTGTTCCTGCTGGGGACCATGCAGTAGTTTTAGGTCCCTGCAGGGCTGAATGGCAAAATGGCTCCAGCCAGCCAGTACCGGAAAGGAAACAGAAGGACGTGAGCCAGGAGAGCGCATGGCACTGGTTGGAATTGCACCTCAGTGCTGACAGTTTGTGACAGAACAGTCACTGCTCCAGCAGAGCTGCAAACTGCAGCCACCTTCCTCCCTGGCTGAGCCTCTGGCTGGGTGATGTGGTTTGTTTTCTTTAACCAGGAAGGTGACTGAATACAAGAAACTGCAGGAGCAGACCATCCTGACTTCCCAGGCAGCAGGTTGTGTGTGGCTAAATCTTTACTACGGTACACAAAACCAGAAACCAGGACCTTCCCTTCATGCATAAACTAGGGTTGTGAAAGGGAGAGACAGTCTAATAAGCAAGCACCTATGGAGACCGCTTAGGAGAACTTCAAGACACAGTCAAATCCTGAGATTTTCTGCTGAGCTAACTCGCTTACTTGATTTTCTTACCCAAGTTCCATCATGTGCCTGCTGGACTTGTGCTCAGCTGCACTATTAACACAACTTTTGGAAGCCAGCCTCTGCTTTGGAACTAGATCTCAAGGGAAAGAAAAAAATCTTCCTCTGCAAAAGCAGAAGATGGCACATGAATTCAGCTTTTGTATCAGGAATGACTAACTAATCAGGTTTACTTTCGGGTATTAGGGCTCTGCCAGACCCAGGGCAGCTTCTACACCCTTCATCAGTTGTCAGCTCTAATTTTAGGAACAGGAATCCAGAGCAATTCTCTTACTTGACTCAGGGGGAGGCTGAGTTACATATAGCCTACAATCCTGTAAGCTCACAGCAAATAGGAATGCAGGTGGGAATACTGTACCTTAAATGCCTTGTTAGTATCTGCTGGCATGGCCATTGCTGCCCCTGTCATTTGTTCTTGCATCACCCTAGACTGATCCGCAGCTACAAAAGAGAAACGACAGGTTGATTTTTATGTCATTTAAACAGCAATTCTTGGAGCACAGTGCCACCAGGCCGGCTTCTAGCTATAGACTAGGAAGTTGCAGAAATGCCTAGAATGCAATACTAATGTGCCACCCCCTACATCTTCACTAAACTTACATAAAATACGCAGACAAACTGAGGAAAACACGGTCTTATACATTCCCCATACCGCCAGAAACAGTATCTGTCCTGCTCTGCATCTAGCATTAAGAAATCTTTGCAGCTTTTCTTAAAACTGATACTTGCTAGAAATAAAAGCAAGCCTGAGAGCAAAATTTCTGCACACCAATTTGATGGGAAGGAAATACCATGGAAGTCTATAAGCAAAGGCTGGTGCAGAAGATTTGGGTACTTCTGCAGGTGATGTCAAACCTAGCCAGCGGAGCGTAACCTCACAGAGAGAGGCTTTCAAGAGCTTTTTGGCTGGAAATTTAGTAATCCTTCACCAGCCTCCCTCAGAAGTCATCCCATGGGAGCAGAAGTCATCCCATGGAAGCAGAAGCCAGCTCTTTCACAGAAATGACAGTGTCTTACCATTATCTTGGCCCAGGATGAGAGTATAAATGCTTCTGAGTCCAAACACATTCAAGAAGTACCAGGAAGCAGAGCTCACCCTGATAAATCAGAACAAGCACGGTTGATTTCAGGTCAAAGCTGGCTTGTGATCTCATTTCAGAAGCACACACAGACCATTCAAGGGTTATTAACACATTCAAAATTTTCCAAGTGAATATTTGACCTTGCTTGCTGAGGACACAGGCTTACCAGGACGCATCTAAAGTGAGCAGTTCAATTCCCTGCTGCAACATTGGTTTAAAACGCAGCGTCAGAGGAAATGGGACCTTTGCTGCAGGATTAAAAAAAAAAGCCCAGTTTTACAAAGTGACAGTACATAATTGCAAAGCAGATGGAAAAGTGAATAGATAGTTCTTTTATTAAAGCTAATGTAGTCTGAATGCAATGCATACAATAACAAGTTGGCGTGTACTTTTGAAAAAGCTGTAGTTCCGTAATTATTTTAATATGACAAGACTTTTTGAAACTTAATCAGATGGCCAAACCATCACAGGTGTTGTTTCAGTAACCGTGAAAGGGAATGTCTGTCATTAAGGAAACAGTTCTCACATAAACAGTAAGTAAAAAACAGAACTGTGAATTTAAGGTAGTATTTTTGATGTGTATACCCTGCATTACACAGTAACCAACTCCCTGGACGGGTTCAGAGGAAAATCCACTGTATCAACTTGAAGTTTAGGCGGTTTTAATAAATTTAAATACTGGGTTTGCCACTACAATTGTTCCTGAATACATGAACTATTTTCTTTGTGATCGTGGCCGGTACTCTGAAAACTACTTTCCCTCCTTTGCTATGGGGCAAGCAAATCAATGCAGTTCATGGAGTGAGTAGCGGCAGTGCCACAAGCCAAATTCACGCTGCTTCCAATCGACTGCTTTCAGGTAGAGGAGCAAATCTCTCAATATAGCCCAGACCCTGGAGGTCATCATCAGAAACATGGCCAGACCCATGGGCTGTGTTTCTCCAGCCACTTACTTGTGACAAATCCCGAAAATGTCATGTTGATCCAACCACCGATGAGGATCATAGGCAAAACATTGGTTACGTTCCCTTTCATCATATCTGTCAACATGGTAGGATCTGCAAATCATAGATTTGATTTAAAGTAGCAGCGTGTCACAATAAATGGAAACAAGACCAATGTCAGCTATTTTAATCAAGAAACCGCATCAGAGATAACAGTTCTATCCCACTATCTCTCCCATAAACCGCATCAGAGATAACAGTTCTATCCCACTATCTCTCCCATATGTGTTACTTTCCACTGTTGTGAAAGACACCGCAAAATGAGATGAGCAGCCAGTGTGTCGCTGGCTGCTGCTGCTACTGAAACGGTATTGTGTTCTCTGCTGTGTCTGACCCCAGCTGCTTTGTCTGTGTTTGACCCCATCCCTTGCTCCAGATTGTGGAACTTGCCTGACCCCTCTGCGAGCTGATTTAGCTAGAAAAGGGACAACTAACTATACAGCTAATTTGCTGCTAAGGTCTTTGGCCACATTAATACATTAAATCAGTTTAGAGAAGGTCCTGCAGGAGCTGGTGCAAAAAACTGACAAAAGGACAGGAGTGAGAGCAGGACTTTCCATTTCTGGCAACACTGAGGTGGTCATGGGCTTGTGAAACGCTGCAGGCAGCTAGAGGTTGAAGTTAAGCAAAATGAAGTGACCCAACATGTTGCTACCAAAGATGGGGATCTCCCTCCCCCCTCCTCCCCAATACCCAGCTGCACAGTCCCACGCCCTCCCTCACATTCCCTGAGCTCTTTGTGAAGTTGATTCACCTTCCTACCTTGGCAGAAAAATACAGTTTTTCTGCCCGGCTACAATTATGGTACCTTAACATACCTGTCATTGGTGAAGGAGGCACTACCTTTCTTTTCGTTTTCTTAAAAAATCCATCCTCTGGGTTATTAAAAAAATATTTCCGGGTCAGGAAAGACTGAAAACAAAAAAGAGCCAATGCTAACACCGTAAGAAATGAAAGAACAGAAGCATTATTTCTTGCTCAGACATGCAGACATCTTATGAACTCTTTCATAACACATCCTTCTTTCTTGGAGAGGTACTTCAGTGTCTGTATGATCTAAAGGGCCTCACTTTTCTGTTTCCCTGGATCCAGACTACCAGCTCTCTGGCTTTTAAAAATTCTTAAAATAATTCTAAGAGTTCTCTGAAGAACAATCCACATTAATTAAAGAGCTTTTAGCGCTTTGTGCAAAGTTCTTGCTGGTTCAATCCAGTACATCGGACGTTTTCATTCCCCCCAGCTGACTTCCAGATTTTACAATATACGGACTTGTCAGCAACTGAGCCAATGTGAGAGACTGATTTTTAGTTCAGCAAACATTACAGCTGACATTGTATGACTACCTCATTATCCCAGCTTTTATTAAATACCTGTGTATTTGTTGCCAGATTAAACATGATGGTTTGCACGCAGACTTCATTTTAGCATGCAGTTAAAACACCAAGTAGTGGAAGCTAACGTTAATGTCAGGGAAGAGACACATACAGCAGTCCTGCGTCCAGCTTTCCTAAGCATCTGCTACCAACCACACTTCAGGCACTACTCTGGGCTAGGGGAGGGTGTCTGACCCCACGGGGCACTTGTGCAGAAGCTGCCCGATACCTGCGAGCACCTCTAACCACGGCACTCCGCTAACACAACTTCTTGCTTTGTTCTTGTTTCCGAGTTACCCTCTTCGTAAAGCATAAAGCCGCTCAGGCAGCTCCGTACCTGTTTGGGAATGTATTTTCCATTTTCCCGAAGGACTCTGCTCCGAATCAGGACTTGGCTGCAAAAGAGACATGGCG